TCACCTGCAACAGAAAGTTCCAGAATTCAGTGACCCAGCCAGCATCATCACCTACTGGGGGAAAGGAAAGACCCTCCCCAAGGAATTTCTTGGTTAGGATCCTCGTGTCATAAAAAGAGTAAGGGCACGAGTTAAGGTCTTAAACACCTTGAGATGTCTGTGTTTTTGCAAACTTATTAAGAATTTAGGAAATCCTAATTCTTCAACTTTAAAACAAGGGGGCTCTGGAGATTGTCTCGTCCAACCCTCCTAAAGCAGGGTCACCCATGGCAGATGCCCAGTACCTCAGGGATGGAGACCCCCCCACCTCTCTGAGCCATCTATCCCACTGCTCAGCCCTCACAGTCCAGAACTGTTTCCTTGTGCATGGATGGAAGTTCCACAATCCATCTAATTCTTTATCATATTTTACTCTTCAACATTATGACTCTTGTCTGATCACTCAGTATCTCAATGCCTGCAATATTTTTTGCATTCAGACCTTGATGTTTACAATTCTGGATCATTAAAAAAAACAAAAAGAGCTATCACAAACATTGTGAAAAATGAGAAAAAAGAGAGCTTATGTTTCACAGTCAAGTTTGAAATATTTTATCACATTACTCAGACATTTATTTATTTTACTATTTTTGAAAATAACAAACAGAATATTGGTCACTTACACATTTCAGTTACAGGATGTTGAATTTGGGATTCTTTACCTTTGTGATGATGTAAAGAAATTTAAAAGCCAGGTGAACTAGAGGGGGAGGAGAGCCTTTGTCCCGTGCTATATCCAACAAGGAATTCATCATCCCCTCTATGAAAGGAGAGGAAAAACAGTGAGACTACATGCAGTTCACTTACAGTTTTTCACACTTCTAATAGTAAAGGAGTTAGTAATTAATAATTACTTATAATGTAAGTCATACAGCCACATCAATCTCGTAATACAAACATGGATCTTACAGTTTAACAGATTTTCAAGTAAATACACAAAAATTATCTAAAGATGACATTCCTACCTAAGTGGTGGTCCAAAAGGTGAGGCTGCTCCTGGTACTTGTCCATTATACCTGAAAAATGAAAAAGACATCTGTAATAAACTATGCAAATGACAGGCTTTGAGAGGCATTCACTGTGAGATACCCCCTGACTCTGGACAGCTTTAGCTTAAGATTCCTGTATCCTTGGGCTGCCATCACCTGTAAGTGAGGTGGAAAAGTCAGACAACTATAGTTAGAAAACAGTGCTCCCTGGACACACTGGATGTCACCCCAAGGCTGCCATTCCCAAGCCTGGAATGTATCTAAAGCTGCAGTTCCACTCCAAAGGATCTGCACTCACACAGGGCACAGGCACAGCAAAATTCTCACCTCTTTCTTGGGAGCTCCCTGACTACAGCAGACAAACACCCCACACAGCAGCACTGTGCAAGTGAGGGTCCTCTTCACAACCCTGAGAGCTACATTTTTATTTTGAAATACAGGGAATTATTCAGCAAAGAACAAAGAACCCTTGACAAATTTTAACCTGGACAAACACAAACTGCAGCTACTCCCATCTGTGCCCCTCAAAACTATTCACATCCCTGAATATTCACTTACTCTGTCACTGCTCCCTCACTCTCTTTTGGTCTCTTCCTTTTGGGTACTGACTCAAGGAAGGACAAATTGAAATGGAATATTGAAAAAAAACTAGGAATAACTTGCCAGGGTTTTTAGACACAAAAGCTTTTCAATTTAAACCCAGAATCAACAAAAATCAGCTACAGAAATGAGAACTGGATTCCAGGAGAAATCATCGAGCGATCCAATGTTGCGCTGGAGATGTCCTGGGATATTTTATCTATTTGGTCAGAAAACAGCTTTTCAATTAGAAAACTAAAACCTCCTTAACCTCTCCTTTCCCTGCATTTGTTTCTCTCTCAAACCATTTTACTCTCTGTCCTTTTTCTCTGGCTTATACATCAACACTTACACTGAAGGTGTGACTCAACTCCAACAGTGCTGCACTTGACCAGTGGATGACACTGCACACCCACTTTCAAGGCACCATCCAGCAGTATCCCTGTGCAATTCCACTGGGACACCACAATGCCATCAAGAGGGAAACCTGAGCTCCTCATCCTCACTAACCTCCCACTCTAATTAACGATGCCTTAAGCTGTGTACAAACTGCAGAACTGGTGGACATAAATTCCACCAACGCCCAAAGCAGCAGCTTTCCAGCAGAAGTGGAATTTAACAGCAAATTCTTTTCCCAGATCCCAGCCAGGCAATGTAAATAAACCCATAAATATAAAAGCTGAAGAGAATAAAGCTAAAACAGTTTTCTAATGGTATTATTTCAGAAGAGATCTTTCCTCATTTACCTACAAAACTGTGGTTGCAGACTAAACTGTTTCCCAAATTTCTGTTTCTGATGGTTCACCAAAAATTGAGCACCCAGTTTTTGTGAACCTGCATTAAACCCATCTGGAATGGATGATCACTGTGCTCCCTGCACACAGATTAAAGGTATTCCCTAAGTTTCAGCATTCCAGCCCACACACTGACCACAATCTTAACAGATTTGGGACATTTTGCCCAGGAAGGATCAAATGACACCTGAGGACACTGAATATTATAACCCAATACTGAACCACCTGCACAGTACCTGTCAGTTTTAAGTATATTGAGCCTGTATTTACTGAGCAATGACAGGCAGGCAGAAAGGTCACAAATTCAATTTAAATACCCAGAGACAGCACACACAATGTGACACAGAGAGAGGCACAGCAGGGTGATCTGCTGGAGGAGATGATGCCTCTCAGACACCGAGATTTTTGCAGCAATGGCTTTTTCTACCCCACTGAAACCTGACACTTCACCTGTGACACTGAATGATCAAAGAATGTGAGTGTTCTGGGTACTGCTATCTGAACAGCTACATGTTCATCACTGGCCTCCTCAGATGGAACAGTCAATTCAGTCAATCAAATACAACGCTAGTAAGGAACTTCTGCAGGCTCAAATCTCTAAATTTGTGGTTTCTGCTTTATTGTTTGCTTACCTGGTTTCTTTTTGTCAAAAACACAGCTGCAGGATCGATATTTTGACTGTAAGCTTTTGCAATTTCACCACTCTCTGCAGAAGTATTTGCAAAATGCGAGTCTGCAAGAGTCAGTTTGTAAATTCACGAAGTGCTGAATTAACTTTAGCAAATCACCTGGTCAGAATACTGACCCAACAATATTCTGACAGATGTGCCTTGTAACGGGCTGATTACCCAGGACACCCCTGCAGGCACCTAATTACAGCCCTCCCAGGTTCAGCTGAGGTCTGGGGACAGAACAGCTTTCATCAGGTGGCACAAAAATCAGATCCAAGTTACCTCCACTCAGAAAAAAATACATGATCTGTATGGATTCAAAACCCCTCACGTTTCCTATGAAACAGAAGAGCAAAAATATTAAATTGCCACTTTAAAGCGCAAAATGTGAATGTTTTGACAAGTAATTAGCTACAAAAAGTATTTTATTTGATAGACATATAAACTTTAACTGAATTACAGCCTGCATTTGAATAGGAAACTGGAGGCAAAATAGGAGTTGGAATTCTGATTTCTGAGATCTAAGACCAGGATTTTTAATTATAGTGGCTAAATACCAGGTAATAAAGGATGGGAAACAAAACGAGCAAAAAACACAAGCCTGAACCACCTGTTGATAAAGTTGCAGCATTATCAATGACCTAAAAATTAAGAGTTTTGGCACCTTTTTGATTATCAGCAATAACAACATAATACATAATAGAAGATTTTACACAACAAAATGTTGGTGTTTAGCAATAGCACGCCCTGTGGATGCCGTGCTTACCCACGAACCGCTCCACGGCCATCTCCCGGGTCACCAGCTCCCCGAAGACGCCCCTGAGGTTCGCGATGAGCTCGGCGACCTCCCGGCTCTCGGTGAAGCTCTCCAGGAAACCCCTCTCGCTGACGGCCCCGGGCTCCCGCTCCTCGCCTTCCTCCGGCCCCGGCCCCGCTCCGTCC